AACCCACTTAACCCACTGAGTCACTCAGGTGCCTCCAGTCAATTGATTTTTGACAGGGGTACCAAGGCCATTCAATGGGAAAGGATAGTCTCTTCAACAAATGGTGCTGGGACAACTGGATATCCACATGCAAAAGAATGAAGTTGGACCCCCTACCTCACACCATATATGAAAATTAACTCAACATAAATGTAAGAGTTAAAACTATTGAATTCTTAGAAGGAAACATAGGTGTAAATCTTCAGTGATTTGAATTAAGTAATAGTTTCTTTGATGCAACACCAAGGGCACAAGCAAGCACAGAAAAAAAATCATTGGACTTCACTAAAATTAAAAACTGCAAATCAGGGGTGCTTGGATGGCTCAGTCAGTTGAGCGTCCGACTTCAGCTCAGGTCCTGATCTTGCGATTTGTGAGTTCGAGCCCCATGTCAGGCTCTGCGCTGACAGTTCAGGGCCTAGAGCCTGTTTCAGATTCTGTGTCTCCCTCTCTCTCTGCCCCTCTCCTACTCGCACTCTGTCTCTCTCTCAAAAATAAAGAAAAATTTTTTAAAAATTAAAAAAACTTTGCAAATCAAAGGATACCATCTAAAAGATGAAAAGTCAACTCACATAATGGGGCAAATATTTGGAAATCATTGGGTAATTCCAGTATCGAGACAGATTCTTCAGAAAGCTCTTACAGCTCCATAATAAAGACAAAAAAATTTTTTTTAATAAACGAAGAATCTGACAAGACATTTTTCCAAAGAAGACATATGCATGGCCAATAAACACACAAAGAGATACTCAAATCATTAGTCATTGGGGACATACAAATCAAAACCACAATGAGATACCACTTTGCATCGATGGCTATGGGAAAATAAAAGAAAATAAGCATGGGCAGGGGAAGAAATGGAAACTCTCGTACCTTGTTCCTGGGAATGTAAGATTGTGTAACCACTATGAAAAAGTTTGGCAGTTCCTCAACAAGTCAAACATGGGGTTACAGCATGGCTCAATAGTTCAACTCCATGGTACATACTCTAGACTCTAGAGAAGAGAAAACATGCTCATGTTCTGCCAGTGAATGTCCACAGCAATATTATTCACAGTAGTCAAAAAATGGAAACCAGCTAATGCTCATCAGATGATGAATTTATAAACAATGATGATATATCTATATGGTGGAATTTTATTTAGCTGTAAAAAGGAAGTACCGATACATTTATTGTGACAGAAGTCAGACCCCAAACGTCATATAGTGTATGATCCCATTTAGAAGAAGATCCCATTTGTTTAGAATGGACAAATCCACAGAGACTTAAAGTAGATTAGTGGGTGTCAGGGGCTGGGAGAAAGAGGGAGTCGAGAGGGATGGGATTTCTTCTTTCGGGTGACAGAAATATTCTGGAATTGGGGCACCTAGGAGGCTCAGTCGGTTAAGCAACTGACTCTTGATTTCGGCTCAGGTCATGATCTCACAGGTTTGTGAGTTTGGGCTCTGCTCTTGGTAGGGCAGACCCTGCTCGGGATTCACTCTCTCCTGTCTCTACCTCTCCCCTGCCTGTTCTCTCTCTCTTTCTTTCTCTCTCTCAAAAATAAATAAACATTAAAACAAAAGTTCTAGAATTAAATAGTGGTGAAGGTTGTACCAACTGTGGATATGCTACTCAACTGCACACTTGAAAGGCATTAACATGATGAACTTTGTGTTATGTGGATTTTGTCTCAATGAAAAGCTAAAGAAAAAAAAAAAGAGCACGCAGAAGGTGAAGGAAGTTTCAAAATATTTGCCTTGCCCAAATGGTGTGGCCTGCATGAGTTTATTGAGGACG